TGCAGTTTTCATAGGGATTCTCTTTGTTTTAACTAAACTGGCCTCATTATTAAACAGGTGCATCAAGATACAGAAGGCTGAAGGAAATCTGAAGGAAATCAAATCTACTGTATATGGAGGAAAAACTGACATTGTCAACAGTTGTAAATCTGCCACCTTTCAAATGACTTTTGCCTTACTTCTCCTTGGATTGGTCTTCCAAGCCCCTGACTTGTATCTTATATTTATTTTCTTCTTCTACAGCAATTTTAAAAATGGAACATTCTGTTTGAGTGCAATTGCATTTTCCCTCCACCATTGCATTGTATTCCTCTACTGCAAATAAAGCCAGTACAGTATAGCATTGGTATGACAGAATTGGGCTTCTATACACTCACGGCCGGTCTACTCTTTCCTTCCTTCCCTTCCCTATCCCCACTGGCATTGGATACCAGCCAATACAGAAGGGATTTAATCTGGCAGATCCACTGTAGATTTGCAGCATGATAGAATTTATGGCATTGAGCTCTGGAATCCCCTGATTCAGAATACAGTACCAGCTTGGCGCCCTTCTGACTGGCACCTAAGCTTTGAAACTAGCTCCCCCTGTAACAGCCACTGCCTGTCATTCATACTGGCCTCCATCTGGTACAGACACAGAAGAAAGATACGGCAGCTACATTACCCAGTGTCTTCAGACTTCTCAGCCCTATTGCTAGAGATCCCAGAAAAATCTAAGAGATGTGATGTTGTTCATCCTCCTAATTTCTCAGCTTGTTTCACCATGGCAAGAAAAAAGAGAAGGAAGCATCCAGGTACATCAAATGACTCCTTTTATTGTAATGCTCTGCTGTGACTTAGAGCGCAGGAGAAGGAAAGAACTGTCCCCCCACACTGAGAAAATGTGTAGTGGTTCATGAAGACTTATATACTGTAAATAATCCATCTTCCTAGTTCAAAGGAAAAACTTTCAGAGTAGTAAGGAAGGGCTGAGGACTGGGGGACTCTACCTATAAAAGGAAGGAAGGCAGGCAGGCAGACAGGCAGGCAAGGCAAGGCACTCTGAATATACACATCCAGTATACTTTATCACCACTGGACATAATTCATGCTATTTTCTGACGTGTGGCATACTTCTGTTCCCTGTTCTCTGATTTAAGTTTTTTTGTGTGTGTTATGTCCTTATGGATATGTGGCGTGGTTATTTGGGTGTGACAAACTGGTGTGCATTACTTCAAGAACCCAATAGAATGACCTCTGGGAGGTGAGGACTTTCCTTTTTAAATTTATGGGAATTGTACTCACAAAAATTAATGGTACAGCATTTTGAAAACTATCCATGTCAGGCTCTTGCATTAGTCAGTTTCAAATAGCTGCGTGCCATTTGAAACACAACCCGTTGAAACTGACCAGAGCAATAAAAACATATAAAAATCCTGCAAAGGATAAGACAAGAAGCACAGGACTGTTGCACAGGAAAGCGGGGGGGGGTGTTGAGAGGGGAAAAAGAGAGCTCAGTGCTTCCCCCCACTGCTTCTCCAGGAAAGCTGGTGTCCTGGGGGTGGTGGTGCAGAGGGATTCATGGCAAGGATAAAATGTGCAACATTTCTGGGATGGGAAAAAAACTGCAAAGTAGTAGTTACATCTCTAGTGCAGACAACAGTTTGAAACACCTGACTTGGAGTGTGTAGCTTCTTGCTAGAGATGGGCACAAACCTAGATTCAGACATTTGTGCTGTTCCCCCCCCCCACGTCCCCAGCTGGATCCTCCACTCACCAGCCAGCATGCGCTCCTCTTCTCCTCGTCTTTGGCTGTTCAGCCAGCCTCCTGCAGGAGCACTGGCTTCCCTGTCCCGCCTCCACAGCTGATCACTCACTCGGACAAGGAGTCAGGACAGGCAAACCCATACTTATGCTGGGGACTGGTCGAGCAGCTGAAGAGGAAGCGGAAGAGAGCGCATTCTGACTGGTGAACGGATCTTTGGCTGGGGAAGTGGGGGAAAGGGACGCGCTGCACGAAACAGCACGAACCTCCAAACCGAGGCTCCTGCCCATCTTTCTGCTATATGTTTTTATACCAGACATACCCTTGCATGTGCTTGCATATATGGCATATATTTATGTTCTGCTGGGGGTGTTTACATGTGAAGTAATACTTTCTGTGTTTGGCTATGGTATATATAAAATTTTGACGCTATGTATGTAGATCCCAGCTTCTCATTCTATCAGCCCTCCCAGCTCGGGTGTCATCAGCATACATGTGAAATTAGAATGCTTACCCTTGTTCACTTGATTGTTTCACATTTGGTCACTTATAATTATAACTCATTTTCTTCTAGAACTGGAACTCATAGTGTCTGACAAAAAGGTTAAAATATAGATAGATAGCAGTAGACAGATGTTACAATGGTAAAACACAATTAAATTATAACATTAAAACACTATAGAAGGATAAGAAGAGCTCATTAATTTTAAAACAGTAATTTATCAATCTCTCAACGGCTCCTTTCTCAGCAAGCCATAAATTCAGAGGGCCCAAATAAGCTCAAATAAATATCCTATGAATTATGTCAGCATAAATACACAGGAGATTGATATATCCATATTCATTAGGAAGCAGAGATTAGCAATGTGATTTTATTGGACTAAACTCCCAAAATTCCCCAGTTGGCATTGTCCGTGGCTATTCTTACAAGGGATTCTGGATGGTATAATCCAAAATTAAATTGGTCAAGCTGTTTTATAACTCTCCTACCTTCCTACAGGATGTCCCATAGCAGTGAAGCAAAACAACTACTATCAGGAGTGGACATTTACAAAGGATGTATATTGAGAAGTAGAAGTAAAGTATGAAAGGGGCCACATTGGGTTGACTCTCAGTTTGAGAGATACATACTGTACATGCTTTGATGAAGAGCTGAACAGGGGAAGGAATGTTTTTTAGTATACTAAACTATTCAGTCTGTATTTCTGAAAGAAATCAAAGCTTGGTCCCACCCCACCACATTTTCTCCACTGGGCTCTCACTTTCACTTGCATTTCCCCCTGCTTATCAGATACTGTACTGTGTCATTCACTGGGGATTCCTGAAAGATTTCCATGAATCTGTAATGGAGTTTTGTAATTGGTAGAAACTGCTGGTGAAAAATAAAAACTGTCTCATAAGAATGTCACTACAAGCCCTTATGTGTGTCAAAATGTCATTATATCTTTATTTATATGCACCAACATTGTACATGGCTGCTTCAGATGGTATATGTCTCCCTTTTTTATTGCCCAAACAACTGAGGTTAGGCTTAGAGATATAGACTGATTTGGCAAAGGGCTCTGTTGACTAAATTGAGATTTGAACTTGGTAATCGGTATACTGCATTAGCTGTCTCAGATCAGTGAATCCAAGGCTGAAATTTAGCATGCATTCAGATAGTGGGAAAGGTCACTGTCACTTTTCAGGGAGTGATTTCCCTTAAAGTGACCCTTCTATCTTTCAGGAAATTACTCTAGCCCAGCCTCAAAAGGCAGTAAGCCTAAAGCTAGACCAAAAAGGTCCCGGTTAGAAATTGTTTGAGATTAAGCTGGATCACCATTCCCCATACATTATGTGTTGGCCAGAAAATAGATCATAGCAGACTGCACCACAAGCAGTTCAAAATATGATGTATTTTCCTGAGTGATCACACCCTTATTGGCAGAAAAACAGTGCTCAATTAATGTCCTTAACTGGCATAATATGAAATTAGGCCACCCAGATATGAGAAAAGAGAATACAGTATGGCAACCCTACCTTTCCTGCCTCCATCACTCAATCCAAAAAATCTCAAATAATTTTGGATTATATGAGTTGCATTCATATGTAGTCATTCTTAGAGCAAATCCACTACAATCGATGTAACTGAAATAGTGATGACAAATCTAGACAGCATCTTAAAAAGCAGAGACATCCCCTTGCCAACAAAAGTCTGAAAAGTCAAAGCTATGGTTTTTCCTGTAGTGATGTATGGAAGTAAGAGCTGGACCATAAAGAAGGCTGACCGTTGAAGAATGGATGCTTTTGAATTGTGGTGCTGGAGGAGGCTCTTGAGAGTCCCCTAGACTGCAAGGAGAACAAACCTATCTATTCTAAAGGAAATCAACCCTGAGTGCTCACTGGAAGGACGGATCCTGAGGCTGAGGCTCCAATACTTTGACCATCTCATGACAAGACTCCTTGGAAAAAACCTTGATGTTAGGAAAGTGTGAAGGCAAGAGGAGAAGGGGACGACAGAGGATGAGATGGTTGGACAATGTCACTGAAACTACCAGAATGAATTTAACACAACTCCGGGAGGCAGTGGAAGACAGGAGGGCCTGGCGTGCTCTGTTCCATGGGAAGAGTCAGACACGACTAAACGACTAAACAACAACAACCGTCCCATTTGTGTCAATGGGTCCTACCTATCTGGACAAAGATGTTTCCCCTTTTAACCTGAAGACTGCCTTCGAATCATGACAGCCAAATATGTTCATGTTTCATTCTGATTGCAGTTACACAGGAATGGGAAAATGCTGATTCAGCCTTTATGGTACTGCAGTAAATTTGCACATGCTGTGAGGCATACTTAAGACTAAAAGCATAATTCGTCTTTGTTATAAATCCTCTTACTAACGGCTGAGTTGTGGCACAAATTGTCCAGCCCCTCTCAATAGTAAGTAATATCTGCACCAAGAGAAAAAAACAATTACAGGTATGTCAGTTATAATAATACTGTATTTAAAATCCCAGCATGTAAGTTTTGTTTTTGCCCTGTAGATGGCACTGTTACTTTTCCTGAAGTTGGCGCTGACACATAAGCGCGTAATAGACTACACTACAGTATGCAAAAGAAGGGGGAGGGGGGAGGGAAGGCCGGAGCGAAGTGCATCTTCGAAGGGGGAGGATAGAGGTCGGCCTAGTAGTGATTGGCGGAGACATAAGACACAGAATGCGACGCGGCACGGTGATTGGCTGAGACGCACTTCAGCCTCACAGAGGCCGTGGGAGGCTGGCCTTAGAAGACGAAAAGCGGAAGGCGTCAGCTGATTGCCATAATAAACAAGAGGTTTGCACAATCCGTGGCCCGGGCAAAGTGTGACGTTAGGAAAGCACTTGTGCAAGGTAAGGCTGGAAGGAACCTCTTGTATGCTGAAACATATGCAGCTGGACGAGCTTATGTTCTTCTGACCGCGTTGTTCGTTATGACAGTGAACCGCTCAACTCTGGTTAGGAGAGATCATAAGTCCACAAAGGGGCATTTAGGTATGTGGGTGGGTGTGATTCCTGTGGCAAGCTAAAGAAGACAAGGTAGAAGGGCAGAGACACTTATACTGTCAGGGAAGCCAGAAATATTGGGGGATGGAGGCCAGCTCAGGACAGACTGGACCCTGGGCAAGGCGATGAATGGAGGTTTGAGATCAGGATTGACTCTGCGGCACAAAGCACATTATATTCTTTATTTATTTACTTATTTTAAAAGGTAGTGGGGCGAAATGGTGTTTCAGAGAAGGGGGGGCATAAGAATTGAAGGCAGAAAGGGCAAACTTTTAATGCAATCTTGGGGCAGCAAAGAGCAGAGCCATAAGAATTGAAGGCAGAAAGTGTAAACTTGATGCAATCTTGGGGCAGCAAAGAGCAGAGCATGGTGTATGGCTCTGATAGGTCTAAAGAGTTATTAGCTGGGAAAGAGAAGGGGTTACCCGTAGTGATGTTTGGATTAAGAGATGGAAACAGTATATGTTGGAGAAGTTTCTTATAGGAACAAAAGTGTAGTAGATAAGGAGCACTGGTGAATGGGCTGCATGAGTAAGACAGGGAAGGTGCATGCATGGGCACAGTGGGCAAGCACTGGGTTCCCAAAAATGTGGCTTCCACTTCCAAGCTAGATTGGGCTTCTTATGAGACAGACTCACCAGACTGCCTCAGGAAACTGATTTTGGGTGTCACAAAGGGACAGCAAATCTGTGTTTTATTACTGGATTTTATTGTCAAGAAAGCAGAGGTGCTTGTTTGAATTGTCTGCCTCAGGTGCCAAAATAACACAGCTCCTCTTAAACCATGAACCTTGACTTGTTGAGGCAGAGAGGGTGCCATTTGCTGTTATGCCTTGCACAGCAAATATCTTGGGTGGGACCTGTTTCAGAGCTACAGAAAGTGATACCTAGGCAGGAAGGTGTACAGCAAAGTGCCTGGTTAGCAGAACAACACGAGGAGTGAATACAATACTGTAGTTGATATTGGCTACCTGGGATTAGGAGTTTCTGCTGTTTCTTTCTGCATCAATGGAAGATTTCCTCACAATTTGAATATGCTAAAATCTGCCTCCCTGTTCACATTGACCTCTGTTGCCAGTTGTTGAGAGACAACAGTGAAAGAGGACTACTGCCCTTGTATCCTATTGTGGGTTTCCAAGAAGGATCTGGGTGGCCCTTCTGGGAACAGGATGCTGGACTAGAGAGGTGTTTGGTCTCATCCAACAGAAGCTCTATGTTCTCAAATAGTAGCTTCAGATGAGGGATTTTTCCTCAAGAGAGCAGTCCAGGAAAAAGAATCAAATCCTCTTTCCGTATTTGCTGTGATCATAATACCTCTCAGCCCTGCAAGGAACATCTATTCAGTGTTAAGCACATTCCACATCATGGCTGGTTTGACCCTTGGCAAGGATTGGAGGCAGTGAGAGTTTCCTTGCTTCACTGAGTGACTCGTTCAGTTTCTTCCTTTTGCTTTGTTAGCTTTTGTTCTGTGCTTTCTGCCAAGGAGTACATTGGACTGGATTGGCTTCAAAATAACTCTCTGTAGGTCAACAAGTGTTGAATTGCACAGGGTCATCCCAAGACTGCTCACATGAAGCTGGCCTGGGGTTTTTCCACATTTTACTGATGATGTACTGTGTCAAGGTGGCTCTGACAAAGGTGACATCACTAGCAGTGAGAGGAATCTTGGAGCAATGGCCTGTATTCTGTTTTTCTCAGCAAGATGCTTATCTTGACACTCGGGCACTGGACTCTGGGTGTTCTGGATAAGGCCTATATTGTGTAGTCATTACATGCCATCATGTCAGTCCTGACTTATGGCAACCCTCACAGGGTTTTTGAGCTATGTGACATGTTCAAGGAATGGTTTACTATTGCAGCCACCACCTGCCCAGCGAGTTCCTATGTCAGCAAGCTATGTGAGAGAGCTGAGGAAGGGATTAAAGTAGCATTGGTGCCCTAACTTGATAAATTTTTATGGCTGTTTTGGGGATTTGAACCAAGATCGCCTGGTCCTGCGTTCTATCCACTACAGTACACTGGCTCTGGTGACAAAGAACAACATCTGAACCTTCACTCCATAAATTTCTGCATCTGAAATAGGGGAACTATGTAGTAAAGTGTGATAAAATAAAATTACACCAGCTGAAACCTAAAACAATCAGACTAGTGATTGTCCTGTTTGTATGTGTAAGACTTCTTCAATATAAGGATACGATCAGATAGCATAATATCAACATAAAGTCAGAACTTTTCTCTCTTCCTGGATTTTGTTACCACTTGCCTGGTGAAGGCATTGAAAGTTTGCATACATTTTGTGCCATTCATTCATTCATTTTTATTTATTTCTTTTCTTTTATTTTATTTAACTTATATGCCGCCCACCATTCATTCATTTTTATTTATTTATTTTATTTTATTTAACTTATATGCCGCCCACACTACCCAAAGGTCTCTAGGTAGCTTAATAAAGATACTAGCTTAATATGGCTTTCAGAATTTTTTTTAATGAAAAACACAGCTACCTTTGTTGTTTTCCACTTTTAGCTCTACCAAATTATCCCACTGTTTCCGCCCCCCCCCACTTTCCTTTCCTTTCCTGTTTTTACTGGCTAGCTGGCTAGCTCAGTGGTTTGGGTATCTGGCTGTGGATCCAGAGAGGAGCACTTTGATCCCCCACTGGGCCTCCAGGGACAAGAGCCAGCTTGTGTGGGCTTGGGCAAGCAGCACTGTCCCTGAGCTACCCCCCAGAAGAAGGGACTGACAAACCACTTCTGAGTGTTCTCTACCTGGAAAACACTGAGAAGTGTCATCATAAATTAGAATTGATTTGATGGCACACATTCATTCATTCATTCATTCATTCATTCATTCATTCATTGATTCATTTATTTATTTATTTATTTATTTATTTATTTACTTATTTATTTATGGGGATGGGAGAAGACAAAGGCAATAAAGTTGCACAGTAACACTCCAAATTTTGTATGTGTTTTGTATGTTTGGAAGTACAGTAGTAAACACAAGAGATTAAGCTGAACGTTTGCGAAGGACTTGCCAGACAGCTTTTGGGCAACTGTCTTACCTCTGAGACTTAATTCAGCATTTGTAATCCTTCAGAATTAATGTTACAGAGTTTGAGGATAAACAAAGCAAATATATTGTAAGCCACCTTTGGCCATGGTTTGGTCTTAAACACAATGATGTTGAGTTGTAGTCCTAAACTTTTCCAAGCTCTGTGTTGGTCTTCAACAAGGGTGGACCGCAGCATAGAAGACAGTGGGTAGAAGAGAGTTAGGTTCAATACTGGAAGAGTAATTTTGGTTTCCTGAACCTTCTTCCCAGCACTTCTTAATTTCCAATAAAGAGTCTGAGTGCAATTAATTTCTGTTTTCCTCTCTCTACAGAGTCCTTTCAACAATCATTTCTATCCCAAACTTAGCACCAATGGGGAAGAAAGCAGAAGAACCAGATTATCAGAAGCAGTTTGAAGCAGCTGTCCGTGTCATCCAAGGCTTGCCCAAGAATGGTGAGAGTTCATTTGGGGAGGGCTGCAACTTGACTTATTAGCCTGGTCTATCACTTTGACTTCTGAGGTCTGACATCAAACTCCCTAAGCTTACTTGGTTCCAAAAAATGAAAGGGAACATGCCCAATGAGTCTATATCTGATACACACTTCTCATGTAGGGAATAACCAGAATAGGAGTGGGTGATGGTGCTGCATGTGTCCCGTTAGCTTACCAGCAAGCAGCTGCAAAGTTTCACACTGTGTCCTTATTCCTTGAGATCTACAATTCATCTTTTTAAATTCCTTGGGGTTAAGAAAGAGTGAACTAGAGTTTCATCCATCTCAGATTGATGTCCTCAAAGTGCTACCATAAGAGCGAACAGATGTATGGGCATCTTTAAACCCATGGTACTGGCACCTACCCATTTAAGAAAAACAAATAAATCTGCATGTGTGATTCTGACTACTTGTGAAAGAGAGATAGAGAAAAAAGAGAAAATGGAGAATGAGCCATCCCCTCAACAAAAGATACTCGCGCGGGATGAAGTGGAAAGAATGGGAGAGACATTAGAAAAGGATGTGAATGTAGAAGAAGGGACAAGGAGAGAACTGAAGGAGAAAGAGGAAAAGGTCGAGATTTGTTTGGTAGAAGAGAAAGAGGGGGAAAGAGAGGAGGAGTTAATTTTACCAGTATGGGAGGAAGATATAAAGGATCAGAGTGGGAGGAAACAATTTAGAATTCTGGGAGCACTAGCAGAGAAAGATAAGAGGATAGTAAGAGAAAAGGAGAAGGCAGAAGAATATGAAAGAATGAAAGGATTATTAGAGGATTTTCCTAATCTAAAGACCAGAGCAAATGAAAGGATTATTAGAGGATTTGCCTAATGTAAAGACCAGAGGGTTGCTGCCTAATCCAGACATCACCAAACAGAAAGATTCCGGTGGATCTGTTAGAATGGGCAGTGGTGGTATATCTGAGAGGACAGGGTCATTGGAAGAAGGTGGTCCGGCTGGACTCCACGTTCAACCACCCACCTGTGGAGGGTGACTGGGCCAGACATCCCTGTTGTGGGACCATCTGCACGGTGAGGAGTATACCCCTGAGGAAGCCAACAGATCGCAAACGGTTTGGACCAGCCCATTCTTAGATCCAGTCAGCTCAAAGGCAGAATTATTGTCCCCTCCTTTTGGACAGTTGCACAATATTAGTTTATTTGAACTGGTTTAAGTTGTTGTTGAAATCTTAAGTTCAATAAAGTTGTTAACGTTCAAAAAGAGTTTCCCATTATGTTTCCTGCCAAAAGAGAGGAACTGTTCCAGATATATAATGAACCTAAGCACATCGCTCCTACTTTTCTTAACAGGCTCATACCGCCCATCCTATGAGGAAATGCTGCGCTTCTATAGTTACTACAAGCAAGCCACAGTGGGTCCATGCCAAATCTCCAGACCAGGCTTTTGGGACCCTATTGGCAGGTATAAATGGTAAGATAGACCAGTGCCAACTTTTCTCAAAATCTGATGAAGCTTTTTTCAAAATTAAGTTTAATTTGAGCCAATAGTATTCAGCAAAAACTTAACCCTGATCTTATTTTCAGTAATAGAGCTCAGCCTTGGACTGCTGGCATAAAGCACTGCTTACTTTATTTGTAGAAGAAGGCATCAACATGTTGAACAACACTGGCTGCTGGTGTGCTTCATGGTGGCCCTTTTAAAAATTGTAAAGCCCTATACCAACAATGGCAAACCTATGGCATACGTGCCACAGCTGGCACATGGAGCCCTTTCTGCTGGCACGCAAGCCATTGGTCATCAGATAGCTACTCCCCCCTCCCTGTACAGCCAAACCTCAGGAGGTGGCTGCAGCTGATGCTGGTGCTTTGCCAGGTGGATCCGGAGCAACTGGTGCTGGCAGCGGAGGTTCCACTGCCATATCCAGGTCCGGGTCCACCACTTCCAGTCCTGGGTCCTCCGGGTCTGCCGCCACTCTTGCAGCGGCAGCACACTGCCCACTGTTCCCCCCCCCAGTTTAGATATGCGAGCCCAAAAAGGTTCGCCACCACTGCCCTATACCATCCTTCCTGTTTCATGGTGTTCTCCAGATGTTTTGGAGCTTAACTCCCACAGACCTTGACAATTGGCTCTCCTGTCTGTGATTGATGGGGAGTTATGGACCAAAACATCTGCAGGGCACAAGAGTGAGAGATACTTACATGTTTGCAGAACTCCCCCTATGGCAGCCTGTGTGCAGCTCTTATTCAGAAGCCCTGTGTTTTACATCATAATTATGGATGATTAGAATTGTGTAGTGGGAAGAAGGGGTTTTATCGCAGTGGCCTGAGGCTTTGGAAGACAATGGCTTTAGACATGGGGAGGAGTCAATCCCCAGCTGCCTTCCATAAGACTGCTGAACTTTGTTGATAAGGGAATCATTTGGTTGAGTTACAGCACAATAATATACTAATTTACCTGTGAGTAATGCTATTGAACTCTATGGAAATTATGTTTTAGTAAACACATTTAAAAGTATGATGTAGGGTTTTTTTACTGTTCTTCTGCATGATGAATTTGCTGTTTTAATTTATTGGGTTGAATTCAGAATTAGGTTTACAGCAGAATCACTGAATGAAGTTAGTTATGACTAATTTAAATTCCACTGATCAGTAGTTGTATTCTAACTATTACTAAGTCCATATTGCTTTTTATGATGATGCATTTTGCTTGGGATGTATAAAAAATGGCTTATAAATATTTTAAAGTAGTAAATAAGCAGTAAGAATAAACTATGATTCACAGCACGCACAGAGTGCTATTTACTCATCACTGAATTGCCACATGACTCTTGCCATGAGGAAGAATGGTTAAGTCACAGGGGACTGGAATTGCCAGATAGTTCAGGCAAATTAAGTATCTGCCCCTGGCTAAACAGTTATTTTGGGACTTTGGCAGGGATGCATGGAATAGATTGGGAAAGATGACCAAAGAGGAAGCAATGGCTGCTTATATTGCTGAGATGAAGAAGGCAGCTCAAAAGGTAGGAAATGAAAAACACCTTCCTAGTTCAAGGCCTGTTTTGTGGGCTGTGGTTGGGTTGCCATGGAAACACATTACAGTAAAGAGCATCAAGATGAGTAGACCACAGTATACCACTGAAAAAGGAATACGTGGCCAGAAAAGCAGGGAAGAACATATTTTGAAGTAGACACATCTCAGATCTTAGGACTAATGAATATTTGGGGGCAGGGGCGCTGAGGATCCTTTACTCTTAAATGTGCGATTTCACATCAGAGAGATTCCAGCAGGTTTTGAATGGAACTGAAATTAAGTTTGTCATTATCATTTCAGCATTTGTCAGATTTTTCAGCGTCAAAATGAAATTGATTGTGAAATTATATGGTAGATGGATTTTCGAGGCAAAATAATGTAATAAGCCTGAATTTGACATCCTGGTGGTGAACATTACCAAGCATTTTATACCCTTGGTTGTCGAAATGCTCTAAAAACAAATACCACACCTAAATGGGCATTGTGTAAGAAAATCAGGAAACTGTAGATATACTTTGTGTGTCTCACCGTACTCTCCTGCCTGACTGTTTCAAAGAAGAAGTCACTTCTCTTCTAGAAAAGTGTTGCTTGGAATATTGCATGTAGGTCACAGGTTCAATCCTTAGTGTCTCCTGATAGGGATAAGAAAAAGTTATGCCTGAAATCCTAAAGAACTGGGGCCAACCAGTGTTGATGATAATGGGCTACGTGAAATGTGGGTATATCCTTCCCAGGTCTAGGCATGGGTGGCTCCCAGACCTCTGGAGATTGCCCAAAATAATAGTTATTTTGACAGATTCTTGCCTCAATCCACATTCAGCATATTAGCTTACCATTGCTTTGTCAATTCAAAATAGTATGCTTTGGTTTCTATATTTCATATCTCAGACACATGACACTGAAAAATCTACAGTTCTAGAGGGCCAACTAAGAGGAGGAAGTAAATATTTGCTTTAACATAGGATCTGATCCTAAGTTCTTCTATAAAGCCCAGGGCTTTACATTAAGCTTTTAACAGTCTCCCATCCAAGGAACAAGTCAGGTATAGGTCTTCATTCCTTCTGTAGTGCTACAGTATCAGATGCTCCTAAACCATTCTCTGAGTTGCAGCGAATGGTCTTGTACCACCTGGAATCCCTTCTAGGACTTTCTGACAGGTCATTAACACCGTACCATTGGATGACACATCGGAAGACATGTTTGTCTACTTTGAACCCCTCTATGAAGTGATCCATGACATGCCGAGGCCCCCTGAGTCCTTCTTCAAGAAGAAAACAGGTACAAATAATTGGCAGCAAAAGTTGGGTAAGGTGGGGGGTCTGATCATGTTCTTAAATTGTTGTGATGAGGTAGCAGATAGCTTTATAATGTTTTTTATTCCAAGACCCACAATGCAAAAGTTGGTCTGGTTCTTTTTCAGCAGAGCTTGTAAGGTTACATTTTGGACTACAACTCCCAAAATTACTCAGCTGGGGATAGTCTGGTTATGGGATTATGGGAGTTGTAGTCCAAAAAAGGAACAATTTCAAGATGTGAAATCAAGATAATGAAAATCATATTGGCTCCTGGCTTACAATTTTTCTGGTATCTTTTGTAGTCAGCCTTTCCTTAATAGGAACTCACCTCAATCCACATTTGTCAAATCAGCTTACATGTCTAACAAGCTCCATAGACCTCTAGGGAAGAACTTCCCTGGAGGTTTATGAAGCCTGTTAGACATGTTTGGTGGCAGATCATCTATCCTCCAGGCAGAGGAGTCTCAAGGAGATTACCTTGTTCCATATCATCCGGCAGCCATGTAATTCTCGGCAAAGTATCCCTGTCTCAGATGTAGTATGGAACTGTTCAAGTTATGCAGTTCGCGCTAATGAGCTTGGACTGGAGCTGTCTAACCTGCCTGTAGATGTTTGTGATTTGGTCATAGGAAGCAACCTAACGCCAGCACCTCCAAAATTTTTGTTGGCAGTGAGAAGCAGAAGTGAGAGAAAAGGAGTATAGTTCAGAACACATTCTGTTTCTTTTGCTAAGTAACTTCACTATCAGACCTCCTTGATTTGTTCCCACACAAACATTCTGCAAAGAGCTGAGAGACAGGATACTTGGGAAAATAGGAGGAGGTTTGGACTGCTGGCTAAATGCAAAACCAGAGCCCCCCCTCCCCTTTTCCATTTCATTCCAGAAACTTGATATGCACCTTCTTCCTCCAGAGCACCTTTGATTAAGCTTTCCAACATGGACATCTGGCTCTATTCCCAGCCCTTATCTCTTATGTTTATTGTAACATGCTCCCATGGGTCAAAAGCCCTTTTGCTGGCCAAGTCAGTGACAGTTACAGACGGAGACTTCAGGACTCTACAAGAGGGCTAGGGCTAAAGGAGAGGGGTTCTGGTGAGCCCACTCCTACTTTGGTCAGATTGTGGGTCCTGGTCTATGTTGTGGCAGTGGAAGACTATTATGAACCACCATTTTCCCACAGTACCACACAGATTTTCAGTATTGTGGATGAGAGGATTGGAATTGTGGGAAATTAAAATGGCAGCTTGCAGACTTGGCCACCTGCAGGCCCAGGAAGGGGGCCCAATGTAGGTATCAACACTAGTGGGCCTTAACAGAATGTTGGCAACCACTGTAGTTGTGTTAGGATGCCAAGTACTCGTGCTGGGCCTGATTTCCATTCGTTTCAACTGTGCAAGAGAATTTCATATTTGACAATACTGCACACTCTGGCATTCTTTATCTGCTACCTTTTCATGGCACCTGAAATATGCCCTCTGAGAGAACTGCAAGCCACATTTGTCTGTGTGGATCTTGAGGACAAAGCCAAACACACCATGTAGTGGAAATAGGAAATCTCCTTAAAACCCAGTTACAGCTGAATGGAAAAGTCTCTTTTGGACGCTGATCCTGGTTTTTTGTTTATTTGTTTGTTTTGATCGTGCTAATTGATTGCCCAGTCGACTGTAATCGCCATCCTTCTGAAAAGTTGATTGAAGAAATTAAGTAAAAGAGACAGGGGGGAGGAAGAGGTCACTCCCCTTTGCGACTGCATGCCCTCCATGCTCTCAAGTAGAAAACAATGACAGCCGCTGCATGTTTCTCTTTCACACATTATACAGAGGGAGGAAATGTATTCTGATTAATGCGTTCCTTCTGCCATCTCTCACCTACGTATGTCTCCCTGATGATAGTTTGCATCTATCTGTGCAAAGGACAAGCTAGTTTGACTTGGACAGTGGCCAGGCACACCCTATCTATGGCTCAAAGGGTCAAAGCTTGCAAATGCCCCCCCTCGGTTATTCAGATTACACATTACTCTGAAAATCCTAAAGTCAGAAGTCCCACAGAGTTGCGTTTTCAAACTCTGCAAATAAGCGAGCAGTCCTTCCCAGACTGTATGCCCTTCCTATTAACGCGGGGGTAGGTGGAATTTTTTATTCCGCATAATGCTGAGCTGCACAGGGCTTGGGAATATTGAGATTTCTTTTTAATATTAAAAAGGAGAAAACAACTGGAAGTGCCTGGGAGTCCAGCTCAAGTTCTGGTAAATGTTTTTGATTGGGAAGGGAAGGAGGGTCTCGCCCCACACGCCTGTTTGATCTGAAAAATGCTGCTCTTGGAGGCCTCCAGAAACAGAAAAACATGTTTTTGTGTACTTTTTTTTTCTTGCTATAGGGGGGCTTTGTGAGTATAAAAATGCCCTTAATGGGTTTACATGTAGTCCGTGGTCTGTAGATTGCCCACTCTCATACTAGAGCAGTGAGAAATAAATTAGTGTAAAGTTTCAGTGACTTCTTAGACCTTGAAGTCTCCACAGTGGAGACAGAGGACTCTTTTGTACCTCTGATCTTACTTTCAGAAGGATGGGGGATTCTGCTACAGCAGATCATTGGTCCATCCAATCAGTCATTCACAATGCTGAGGCAACAGAATTGCCCAGGCCAGGGTGGGAAGGCAGAGTCATGCCCTGGAAGAGGACATCCTGAGAAATGCAGAGGGTTGGCTCTTCTGAGGTCAGGCACTTCTTGTTTATAAGTTGCTTGAAAACAGTGAGGCATCCCTTCAGTTTTAGTTCACGGGGAGGAAGGTGCTCATCAGAGTCAGCTAGGGGACTTTTGGTAGAGACTTATGAATGCCTCTGCCAGTGGAGGTCTATGAACAGCTCTGAAGTGTGGGACTTTTTCTCTGGAGCTTCCTCCTCTGTGTTTCAAGACATGCAAACAGGACTGAGCATCTGGGTTGCATAATAAGGAGCAGGCTCTGCCCAGACCTCTGCCCGTCCTTGGAGAGGGGTTAAAGACTCTGTTGCATAAACCCATGTTCTGTCTTATCATTCTACTCCTCTTAAAATCATGAGATCATCTTGGAATTCCTGAAATCTGAAAGTGGGGATATTGTTGTCTTATGCCATGGCAAGTAATTGGTAAGGCATGATCTTCTCATGCTTATATTATTAATGCAAACACAATATCAAGTATTTTAAAAGCCATAGGTGTAAATAGAAGAGATTTAACACTGTTAAGGCTCCAAGGGGCAGATGAAAAAAATTATTCTCTTCTCTTTTGGTGAAAACGGGACTCTGTCCTGTTTTACTTAGGAGAAATCATTTCAGTTTCAGATTCTGCTGAGCACACAGCTCAGCTCAAACTTAAAATTCCCATTCTGCACAAGCTAATGGATGAATTGGGGGTGGAGGCTCCCTTCTTCCTGCCTGAGACTGAGATCCCAAAACTTGGTGTCTTATTCTCCTTAGATAATTAAGCCATCTTCCTAGTTCATTGATTCTTGAATCTTAATGGTATGTACAGAGCCTGGGCAGAAAACCCATTATCTTTCTTCTGCAGATGTAAGAATTCTTTTAAATCTGAATAGTTAGTTACGTACATAGCTCACTTCCCTGATCAGACAGCCCAACATTGTAGAAGGTGGCCAGCTCAATGTTTAAAGCATGGGTGGACAACCTATTGAGGTCTGAAGGCACATGCATTCTTGTGGAGCCTGGAGGGGTGCTACATCAGCCTCGAAATATTTTTTTTCTTTTAAAAATACTTTTTTTATTTTAACTGAAAAAAACCCTCTCAGACCCACTAATGACTTCTTTTAATTTACTGTTTTGGAAGGCAGGGATCTGGTAAAAATATTCCCCACATCCTCTAGAGAAGGGGTCCCCAACCCTCGGTCCGTGGCCCTGTGATGGTCCGCTGGCTTCTCAGGACTGGGCCACAGAGACGGATCTCTGCCCCCCGACATGCACGCATGATGGGCTTGCCGTGCTCACTTATATACAAATAAGCATGTGTACATTCTCCCTGTGTGTACTTCCACAGAGAGAATGCACTTCTCTGCATCTGAGCCCCTTTTCTGTTGCAGGACCAGGATACAAGGACAAAGCTATCAAGAGCAATCAGGCAACCAGTGAGTCCGAGAGCGAAGTGTTCTGTGATAGCCTGCAGCAGGTGGAACCTGATCAGGTGATGAAATACATGAGGGAAAGCTGTGGATCAACAGATATAAGCTGCCATCAGAGAATCATAGGCATAATTCTCTACCTTAGGGCAGGACAGCTTGATGTTAAGTAAGGAATGTCTGGCCCCTCACTAAAAAATCTAGTTTTTAGTTGCATTGACATTAACTACTGCTCTTCCTCTGACTTTTTTTTTGTCAGAATGCATCTTTTGGATGGCATTTGAGCCCCCCTGTGAACAAATCCCTTTTTAAAATCTTGTATCTCCTTGTGAGGGCTTCTGCATGAATAAGATAAACATGTTTCAAGCTGAGTTTGGTGTGATCTGAGCTGTTAAACCAAACCAGAATTTATTTCACCATTTTAGCTAACAATAACAAAAAGCAAAAGTAACCTGTGTTTGCGGCTCAACTGAAAATTTTGGAGGGGTTGTTCCTTTCTTGGCCATGAGTAGTCTCTACCTATTAACTTTTAGTATGCTTCCACAATAAAAAAAGCAGCCTGGAATGTCCTTGCAGTTGTGCTAAGAAGCAGGAAAAACCTTACCTACTGAAACTTTTCTACTTCCATCTCAGAAGTAGAACACTTGAATTCCCTCAGGGCAGAATTACTTCATCTTCCAGAGAATGTTGGGAACTATCCTATTTTCAAAGGAGGGCCAGATAATCTTCTTAACAGAATGACTGATACCTCATAAAATTCCAAAGAGGCAGTTGTGTTAGTCTTTGTCCGCATGTCAACAAAATTAAAGAAAAAGGAAAGGACACAAGGCTGTGGCACCTTAAAGATTAACAGATCTCTTTCCATTGAGCTTTCCTGGATCAAAAGCCACTTTTTGCACATGTGGAGGAAGTACCTGAGGAAGTGGATTCGGATCCACAAATGCTCACACTGAAACAGATTTGTTAGCTTTTAAAGTGTGACAGGATTTTGTCCTTCACTTCCTCCCTTGTTTTTTTAATTTTAACCTCATCAAATTGCCTCATAGTTCCAGGATTCTTTGGAGAAAGAAGTGGTTAAAGTACTATGAAATTGATCATTAAAAAGCCCAAAACTCTATAGTCTTCACTCAAAACTGTTTCTTTTTTCCCTCCTAGGCTACGGTGCTGTCAGACAAACCAAGCCTCCCTCTCAGCAATCCTCAGAAATCTCAAGGTGGTGAGAAGAGTGAACATAAGCCTCCAGTGTACAAACCGTTATCAGTCGGGGAGGGAGAACTGAATAAAGGTTGTACCATTGATGGGAGAGTAACATTTTGCCTCAGGAAGTTAAGCTCAGTACAGGGAGAGGCAGGCCAGGGGCAGACCCTTTGCGGCTGTGCCACGTGCCCTTGGCAATGAAAGGGCCTCTTTCACCTGCAAGTGCAAACAAGCTCAGAGTGTAATTAATTCAGTTTGATTCTGAGATAAGTAGTTTGGTAGAAAACGCATGTTTTTGCTACAAAACAAAAGGGACAGGTTTGCCAGAGCATCAGGCTGTTTCATTGTTTCTGCAACAGAAACAGCCTTTAGGAGGAGGCCAGTAGAGAAACTAAGGACGAAAAGACAAGTATGGAATAGCACTAGGCTGTGGTGAGAGATAATACAGAGCTTCTGCCAAAGCATTTCACCAGCTTTCTTTGCAGAGTGCACTGATGTTTTGGCAATGTCTGCAACTCATTAAAGCAGTCCAACATGTGCCTTTAAAAAGCAATTTAAATGAGGAATATTATGCCAAGGGAGGAATGGTTTGGGGGCAGCAGTAGTGCTTGCAAAAATCACTTTTTGGAGTCCAGCTCCTAGAATCCCCTGTTGCAGCAATTCTCAACCTTGGGTCCTCAGATGTTCAAAACTACCAGAATCCTTCTCAACTGTAGTTGTACCGACCAGATATCCTTTGTATTCCTGCATTGAGCAGGGAGTTTTAGTCCAAGAACATATGGGGACCAAAGGTTGGGAATTACTGCCCTATTGGCATGGCCAGTGGGAGAATTCTTGGAGTTGTAGAAGGGAGAGTAGTTTTCCCAAGGGCTAGACAGCAGTGGCTATGGGACTGGATTTCAGTGCTGATTGTTAATTTTCCACAAGATATGATGGTAGAGTTAATAGAATTCTGGGCTATATCAGAGATGGGAAATACTTTGGAATGGTAAAAGTCTCCCTGCATTTAGCAGGCTAACACTCTGAAAGGCAAGGTTTAGCATTGCCTCTTTCTGATATGATGGTTTGCTATATGCAGGGAACATTTTATGTGGCTAGACATTTAAAAAATCTGCCTCTAACCTGGGATCTGATTCAGAGTTCTTCTGCCTTAGTCTACAATCTCTAGTCCACCAAAATGAACCTACATATACAGATGTGATAGAATGAGGTGGTTTGTTTGTTTAGTCATTTAGTCGTGTCCGACTCTTCGTGACCCCATGGACCAGAGCACGCCAGGCCCTCCTATCTTCCACTGCCTCCCAGAGTTGTGTCAAATTCATGTTGGTTGCTTCGATGACACTGTCCAAGCATCTCATCCTCGGTCGTCCCCTTCTCCTCTTGCCTTCACACTTTCCCAACATCAAAGTCTTTTCCAAGGAGTCTTCTCTTCTCATGACATGGCCAAAGTACTGGATTGCTGCCTTGTCGTGGCGAGGGGACTTGAGTAGCTCAGGGAAGCTATGGGCTATGCCGTGCAGGGCCACCCAAGACGGACAGGTCATAGTGGAGAGTTCTGACTAAACGCAATCCACCTGGGGTAGGAACTGGCAATTCCACTCCAGTATCTTTGCCAAGAATGCCCCATGATCTGATCAGAATGAGATGGTATAGACATGAGAAGTTAGAATGGACATTTCTGCTTCAGACTATAGGTTGTGGGAGTCTTGTTTCTGAATGTTCCCTTGTGTTTTCTTCCTTTTAGGTAGAACAGTAGTACAGCCAGAAGTAGGTTGGCCTAGATTGTTCTCCCTGAAATAAAACTTGCAGTAATTTTTTTTCTTTTCACTTGGTGTTTTTTAATAAGCCTTCACACTTGCAGTTTTTATATTCCACCTCATTCTGATGCATATGTACAAGGGCTCAAGTAGACAGGACATTAACCATGTGATTGGTTCTTATGTGCCTTTTCTTTATTTACTAACGAAGTAGCCACAGAGGCCTCAGATTGGGATAGGAAGGTGGTGTGGGAGAAGAAGATATTCATGTTCTTGCCCTGACAAAGTTCAGTTCTAGATCACTCATAAGCACACCTACAGGCCATACCCTTGGGTGTTGTTGGCCCTGGATAGGAATCCTGTGTCTTCAGAACCTCTCCCATCAGTTTTGAGGACGCAGGAGATAGATAGAAAGCTAAATAAATAAATAAATGTATAATAAATTTATAAATAAAGCTGTATGCATATATTCTCTCTCTCTCTCTCTCTCTCTCTCTCTCTCTCTCTCTCTGTGTTTCTGTGTGTGTGTGTGTGTCTGTCTCTGTGTCTGTCTGTCTTTCTTTCTTTGTGGCTATGGTGGCTGCCACGAGAAGGCTATAGAGTCTACCTCTTTAAAATTGGCAGAGTGGTAGTGGGGGAAGCAATCCTTCTCTAAACCTTGCTGCCTCAAATATAACAGAGATAGGCAGCATGGTCCTTAGCCCTACCTAGTGACCAGGCTGGCCTTCTAGCATGTGCCTTGACTGATAATGCAGAAAGGTCTTTTCATAGCCCTCACTCACTCCAGGAATGCCCTGCTGTGTTGGAATAGTCTTCTGAGTCATTCAGTCTCTTGGCCTTGGGAGGTTAATTCATAACATACTTGTGAAGACAGAGCTGTCCTCACCATGTGCTGATTCTACCTCTTTCCTCCTCCCATTCCCCTATCTTTGTGTTCCTGGCTGCTCCCCCACTTCCCACTGTTCTTCTTGTTCAATTTAAGCCTTATTTTTTGCAGGAGAGGTACAGTGCTATCTGAAAGAGACTCATTTTACCTGGCCTCCAATGAGAAAACATGGTGACCAGACCGATTTGTAGTGTAAAGAAGTCTTTCAAGAAAAATAACTCAAGAGAAGGCAGCAGAGGTGGCCTGATACACTTTTCAGCCTGAGAGGAATGATGGGATGCACACTCCCCTCCATTTGCACACAGGAACTGACTGGGCTTGCAAGCAGTGGAATCTTGTCTGAATGCTAGCCATAAAGGGGTATTCACTGCTAGTTTGAAGGGACCATAAGCAGGTTATGTGGCATATGCAACAACTTGCATATGAGAACAGCTGAGAAGTTTGGAAGGCACAGCCAGGAGGCTGCCATTGTAGCCCCCTAGTATTTGCTTTCTGAAGCAGTCACCTGACTCTGCCTAATGGTACAGCCAGCTCTTAAGTCAAGGCATACAAGTCTTAATACTTCCCTGGTAGCTTAATTCTTGATGCCCCAGAGTGAAGCAATCTAGGAGAAAGGAAAATGAGAGGCTTGTCAAAAGGTACATAGGATGCTCGCCTTACACAAAGTCAGATCAATGTTTGTCCAAACTGGAAATGGCTCTCTCTAAAGTGTCAGGTAGAGATCCTGTAACTGGAGAAGGTGGGGATGGAACCTAGAATCATCTGCTTGCCAAGTGGGTAGTCTGCTGCCATTGAGAATAAATCAAACATTGGGAACTAGGAAGATGGATGTTTTAAATCAGAAGATGTAAATTCTAAAGAGGCATGAGTACCACCACCTCTCATTTTAGAAATAAAGACCCACTTCCCATTTGTCCTGATGTTTTGGAAATATCTCCTATAAAAGAGATGTGTACAGCATACTGGAGATGGGAAGGAGATTCAGTTCAAAGTCTAAAATCAAGTGAACCAGTGGCAGTCCTTTAAACCTCTTACTATTTCTGTTCTTTCTCCACTGTCCAGTTACAAAAACACAACCATTCCCTGTCCCCTTCCTCTGTTTTGCACACAGGTAAAAGTGGAGCCAATGTGACACTGAGACAGATTTGAGCCTTAAGGCTCTCACTTTTAAAAATTCATGACAATTTCTAGGATTATATTTGAGCACCACTTCCATTTAAGGTCTCAGTCTTTTAGATGTATCTGTCATCTTTTTCAGCTGAAGGCCCCTGTGATCTATCACCTCCCAGTCACTTCACAGACCTACAGATTGCCCCACATGAAAAGGTTCTTGGCAGTAGCCCTGAAGCCATCTGTGAGAGCCCAACAGGTGGCTTAATCCAGCAGGAAGTAGATCTGCAGGTAACAAGCATCATTCAGGCTTTGCAGCAGGACATGGAGAAAGTGAGGGAAAGACTCAGCTATTTGGAATCATGGGCAGCTTTGCAGGTATGTTATCCATTTAGAAAGAAGAGGGATATTTATTTCATATATTTATGAATCACTGTTTATCTAGAAGAGCTATTAAGGCAAATTAAGAAAGAAGGAATATGCTACATAATAAACCACGAACAGAAGTCAATCGGGTACACTATTTTTTAAAAAGTTTGCAGCTGGCTTCAAGCAGCACTTCTTCATGCATATCGGAAACACGAGCATCCTAAACCTGAATGAACCTCTTGACCAAGGTGAACCCAGGATCTTTAGAAGAGGTGCTTTTTCATATCCCATCTGACAACTGGCATGCATGGAGGTGGGGCAGGGCACTGCAAGAGAAAGCCCTATGATGTGCTATACCTAACTTATTTGGGAGGCCCTCTAACCCCTCTCTGGCTTTTGGCTGGAATGCAGAGATCATGTTTTGGCAGGCTCTTGGACTTTTGTGGTGGTCATTTTCTTCTCTGCTGCAGTGCCTTTTGTTTTCTGTTTGCAGCCAGCTGCTTTTTAAAAAATCTTACCCTTATCTATTTTTGATGTGCTGTTTTATTATAGAAGGTAATAACGTTCTGATTTCATTGTTCCTAGCCACATAAGGCATTCAGTAGGGAAAAACTGGGATATAAAATTTTATGCTAAGTGAAAGAAAAACAAAGCTCCCTGAAAATGACCAATTATTTCTCTCTAATTAGTAAATAATGGAAAAGATCATGAGTAGTGAAGAAGTTCATGAGTATTTTGTTAATGTGGAAAAGTTAACATTTCTCACCAGTTGAAAGCTGCAGGAGTCTTGTTGTCCTCCCATAGTTTGCAAATTTGCTTGCCTAGCCTTCAGGACAGAAACACTTCCTTTATTTCTGCTTGAATCAGATACTGGAACATTAACATGATTCCAGCTGTAATAATGGGTTGTTTGTAGTAGCCCAGAATCTACACAGAAGGTAGCACAGAGCTGCTGAGTGCCCAAACATTCAGACAGCTTTCAGAACCACAATTATTTAGCTTTAGCAGCATAACTGTGCCATGTGTCATCAAGCCATTATCTGAGATGATGAAAGCTGTAGCACACAAACACCCTGCCAGGACACCTCTGTTTTTGTCTTGAGGCATGCATGACACGTCTCTGTGGTGCCTGATTCGTGGTCCTCTTTGTTACACTTAGCTTACCTTGTGTACCTTGTATAAAGTCTCTGTTCTTGGAGGAGAAAGAAGGGGCTGGGAGAAGATTTTGATTTGTCATTATTTTCATGACATTTGTACTCTTTAAGATCACTGAACTGGGAGAAAGGTGCAGGAGAAAAGGTGCAAGAGAAAACCTTTAGAATGTTTCTTTAAGGACAAGCAAAATAGGTACAAAATCAGAAACAAAAATGACAAGATCAAAACAGTGTGCTTTAGTGATGAGGTAGGCATGCACACAATTGACTTTTTTAAAATGGACAACAATTACAACAAAGAAAAGTAATATTTGGTGCTAAATTCTAAAGCTTCCAGTTTGTATGTGTAAACATTTTTTTAAAAAATTGACCCCAGAAAAAGGTTTTCATAAGTTTTTTTAAGCCAACAAAACATAGACCAGATTGGGATAGCATATGGACTTGAGTACCCAGCTCAATGTGTAGCCTGCATAATTAAATTGTAAACCACTCAGAGAGTGCTTGAAGCACTATGGGGCGGTATATAAGCAGCACGCTTCTAATATGTACAGATGGTCATCAAGAGTTTTCTGTCTTTCAGAGCCACCCAGCAATGTTGAATCCTGGCCTGGCGTCCATATCAGAGAATAAAAAGGTATCATGACCAACAGTTGGCTTGTATGCTAAATGGAACTCAAGCTTTAAGCATACTGATACAACCACCCATCTAAATGGGTTCAGGGCTGGATGCTAATGCTGAGGTGGCATTCGGACCCTAGCTTAATTTAAAAACAGAAGGTGGTAATAGTAGGAGTAATACCGTAGTAGTAGTAAGAAATTTTACTTTTGGGCATGTGTAAAAGGCCTTCCTATCACTGTTCACAACAGCCCCTAACCTGAAAGGAAATGTTGACCAGTGAATAAAGCTTCAACTGATCTATCCCACTTACTGATTATTCTTATCTAAATCTTGAGCTAGGATGAGATAACAGAGTTGGAGAAACCTGATCTCCTTGGTGTAGAATGACTAACAACCCACTTCTAATGTTTTTTTTTCCTTCAAAGTAGAATTTATCCTATCATCTTCTCTTAATCCACAGGAACCACCAAGTTGGCCCGTACATCTGTCTCCTCATACCTGGTTTTTCTTGCTGGCATGGCCTTTCGTTGTACAGTGGCTCCTCTGGTGTTTTCAGAGACAGAAGAGGTGAACTTCAACCTGTCTTTTAATAGCATTTTCCAAATGAACAACTTGAAAATGACTGGAAAGCCATGATGACTTCAAACTATGGACTTCAGATGCCCGTCAACATTTCTACCTACAAAGGACAATCTTGAATTTTGCTTAATCATCACCCTGCAGTCCTGGCACAAGAAGGAACGTAGTTAATCATTTTTTGTTTGTCCTAAATAAACATGAAGGAGGAAAATGACAATAAAGTGCAAGGGGAAACAGAGGCTTCAAGAGACGAGTCCAGTTGGCCTGTTGGCATAAAGTCATCAGTGATGTCCATAACACAGATGGGTAACCTCAGACCCTCCAGTTGTTTTAGACTACAACTCCCATAACCCCTTTCTGTTGACCATTGTGGCTGGGCTTTAGGCAGTTGATGTCCAAAACATCTGGAGAGCCAAGGTGGCCCCATCCTAATGTAGTATTTACTGTTATACAAAACTTTGAATGAGAGATGGTGATAGAAGGAGCATATAGGCTTCCTTTACTCACAACCCACTTCCGATGTTTTTTCTTCAGTCTAATGTGGAATTTTTCCTGTCCCCTTCTCTTAATCATGTTTTCTCCCCTTTTCTGCTACAAGTCCCTCTCTTCCCAAGGAAGGGTGGATTGTAAAGAGGAAGGGTGGATTGTATAGATTTTTTTTCTGTCTCAGGGTATTGGAACAATTCCAGCCATGTAGGAACAGTTTAATGGTAACAAAGAAACTGCATTCCTCTTCCTTTTCTTGATGCCTGCTTATTTCAAGCAGCCTGGGAGCAACAATGCTGATAGAAAAAGTGCTTCTCATGTAATTCATCTTTCTTTCTCAAATGTGGTCAGAAAATGGAAACATTTTAATCAAGCTTAAGGTGTGTACGTTTAACCTGGAGATGAGATAACCAGCATCAGATATTTTATGATTGTCACATAAACAATGCAGAGAAACAATAGTCTGGGTGAATGGATGAGCGACACTTTCACTTCTTCACATGAGCACACTTTTAACCCTTAGCTCACATCAACAAGGGAGGAGAGCCTTAACATTTTCTATTTGTAAACCCAAAGAGGGTGTGTACATAACCCCGCTGACACTAAGAAAATGGGGAAGCTACCAAAATTTCAGTATACCTACCACTTTAAGGGACATGTTGGTTTTAAAAAATGGAATAAAGGTGGGAAAATAAATAATGAGAACTGATATGTGGAATGCAGTGCTGGGTTTAACAAGAAAGCTTCTCAGATAATTCTGTATAGGACTGACCCCTTAATCCAGACACTACTCTCTAAATCTGCTTTAAGGTCTGATCCATATGAGCATATGATTGTAGACAGTTTTGAATGTGCAGTATTCATTAGTTGTATGAGAACTGGCAACATGGAAGCAATGAGTCCTGGTCTACTAGCTAATGTATTTTGATCACAGCTTAGAAAAGTAGTTTATGGGGGGGGGCTATCGCTGTCAGAGTCCTAATGAGCATACCTATTAATTATGCTGACTGGAAGATTCTGAAAATAATGCCTTGCATCCCAAAACATGCTTTTCCTATTTCTAGTAGGTAAACTGGCAGATACTTCTGTACAGTATAGGTTTTTGTATGTGCTCTGCCTCTAGAAAATGCACATGACACTTAAAATAGATATGTACTGTCTACTTAGATATTATGAATACAGGGACAGAAGGGAATGGTTTGAGTGTAAAGATTATGATCTTTTTCAGCCTCTTCCTCACCAGGAATCAAGTATTTCCATTTGGCTAAGAACTGCTACCCACCAGCTCTTCTCTGGGCAATGTGCACCAAAACAGATTTTGGAGGGCTAGAAATTCAGAACTAGCACATCTCCAATGATTATTGTCCAGTCCCTACTTCAGGCATGGACACAGTGCAGCCTGCCTGATGGTGTTGGGCTGCATCTCCCAGGATTTAGCACATAAGGCTGATGGGAATTACAATCCATCAACATTTACAGGGTTGGACCTTGATCTCTTCTTCTCTATTTGAAGACCGTCTGTGAACAGACTCCTTCCCTGGACAGGAAGTTTGACTATCCAAATGCAGTGGTAGCGTGGATGTTTAAATGCTGGCTTTAAATTATTATCGAATTACCTGGAAATGTTGTATTTTCTTTGTGTATATTTTTCTGATGTTGCCATAAGTTGGTTTGAACATGATTTAAGCCATGCATACAAATAAACAGGTAATAGGGATTATTAAAATGTCTTCTAAATATCTGTCAAAATCTACCTTTCTATAACACGCCCATTATTATAGACATGAGCAGCAGAGAAAAATACTTTACTTGGGGCCCAAATGTACAACAGATAAACGGGTTTTCTCAGGCAGGATGATAGTGCTAGATAATTTGAAGAAGTACAGCAAATCTACACATTGCAAGGAAGAAGAAACCACTATTCCACATCAGACAGACAGAGAGAGAGAGAGAGAGAGATAATTTTGGCATAGGTAAGAATGTTGGTGCTAAAGCAGCACTTTTGCTTTGCAAACTGCTTTACTTTGACTTAAAAAAATAATAACATTCAGCATTTGTATTTTTTGAATAACTATAAGGTGGTCAGAAATTCTATAACAGTAAAAGAGAATGTCAGGCAGAGCCTGTGTGCATTATAGCACCAAGGCAAAAAAGCCTAGAAACCCGAAACTTGGCATAGATACAAAGGGGACCTGCAGAGTTTACCCAAGAATTACTGAATTGAAAGGGTGACCAACAAAGTATTACTGGGCAAAATAATAAGGAATCAAGAAATCATAAAACTTTTTAATACTTTGGTCTTGTAATGAGATGTAGAAAATACAATTATAGCAGCTGATCATTCAAAGTAAATGGGAGGAAATAGTGTAGGAAAAAATTCTTGCTTAAGAGTTGTTTGAATGCAAATCCATCATATTTTTAGGGCTTCTTCCTCTAAAGTCAGAGTAACCAGGATGACGTATCATCTTCAGTAGGAAAGGAGTGAGATGACTTAATTGTTCCTGTTGTTGTTTAGTCAAGTCGTGTCCCACTCTTCATGACCCCATGGACCAGAGCATGCCAGGCCCTCATGTCTTCCACTGCTTTAATCATTCTAAATTGGACTGCAGCCTGATGTCTCATCTCCGTTACTAGGTGGCAGCATTCCCTGGTGTAACTGTCATTCAGGCAATGACTCTTATTAAAAAAAAAAAAAAGAAATCAACTGAAATACCAGATTGCAAAACAAAACAAAAATTCAAAGACAAAAATGTTGTGGAACCCTAAAGACTAACTGCTATATTTTCATGTGAGCTTTCATGGACAAGTTTATAAAATACAGCAAGGTTAGCACAGACTAACATGGTTTGTTGTTGTTTAGTCGTTAAGTCATGTCCGACTCTTCGTGACCCCATGGACCAGAGCACGCCAGGTCCTCCTATCTTCCACTGCCTCCCGGAGTTCGGTCAAATTCATGTTGGTAGCTTCAATGACACTGTCCAACCATTTCGTCCTCTGTCATCCCCTTCTCCTCTTGCCTTCACACTCTCCCAACATCAGGGTCTTTTTCAGGGTGCCTTCTCTTCTCATGAGATGGCCAAAGTATTGGAGCCTTAGCTTCAGGATCTGTCTTCCAGTGAGCATTCAGGGTTGATTTCCCTCAAAATGGGTATGTTTGTTCTCTTTGCAGTCCAGGGTACTCTCAAGAATCTCCTCCAGCACCACAATTCAAAAGCATCAGTTCTTCGGCGTCCGGCCTTCTTCATGCTCCAGCTCTCACCTCCATACATCGCTCCTGGAAAAACCATAGCTTTGACTATGCAGTCCGCAAGGTGATGTCTCTGCTTTTTAAGATGCTGTCTAGGTTTCTCATTGCTTTCCTCCCAAGAAGCGTCTTTTAATTTTGTGGCTGCTGTCACCATCTGCAGTGATCATGGAGCCCAACTGCCTCCATCTCTTCCCCTTCTATGTGCCAGGAGGTGATGGGACCAGTGGCCATGATCTTAGTTTTTTTTAATGTGGAGCTTCAGACCATCTCTTGCACACTCATTAAGAGGTTCTTTAATTCCTTCTCACTTTCTGCCATCAGAGTGGTATCATCTGCATAACTGAGGTAGTTAATATTTCTTCTGGCAATCTTAACTCCGGCTTGGGATTCATCCAGTCCTGCCTTTCGCATGATGGCAGGGAGACAATATACAGCCTTGCCGTACTCCTTTACCAATTTTGAACCAATCAGTTGTTCCATGTCCAGTTCTAACTGTTGCTTCCTGTCCCACATATAGATTTCTCAGGAGATAGATAAGGTGGTCAGGAACTCCCATTTCTTTAAGAACTTGCCATAGTTTGCTGTGGTCCACACAGTCAAAGGCTTTTGCACAGTCAATGAAGCAGAAGTAGATGTTTTTCTGGAACTCTCTGGCTTTCTCCATAATCCAGCGCATATTAGCAATTTGATCTCTTTTCCTCTGCCCCTTCGAAATCCAGCTTGTACTTCTGGGAGTTCTCGGTCCACATACTGCTGAAACCTACCTTGTAAGATTTTGAGCATAACCCTGTTAGCGTGTGAAATGAGTGTAATTGTACGGTAGTTGCAGCATTCTTTGGCACTGCCATTCTTTGGGATTGGGATGTAGACTGATCTTTACCAGTCTTCTGGCGACTGTTGAGTTTTCCAAACTTGCTGGCATATTGAATGTAGCACCTTAACAGCATCATCTTTTAAGATTTTAAATACTTCAGCTGGAATGCCATCACCTCCACTGGCCTTGTTGTTAGACAAGCTTTCTAAGGCCCACTTGACTTCACTCTCCAGGATGTCTGGCTCCAGGTCAGCAGCCACATTATCTGGGTTGTCCGGGATATCCAAATCTTTCTGGTATAATTCCTCTATGTATTCTTGTCACCTCTTCTTGATGTCTTCTGCTTCTGTTAGATCCCTCCCATTCTTGTCCTTTATCATGTCCATCTTTGCACAAAATTTTCCTCAAATACCTCCAATTTTCCTGAACAGATCTCTGGTTTTTCCTTTTCTATTATTTCCCTCTATTTCTTTGCATTGTTCATTTAAGAAGGCCTTCTTGTCTCTCCTTGCTATTCTTTGGAAGTCTGCATTCAGTTTTCTGTAACTTTCCCTATCTCCCTTGCATTTTGTTTCCCTTCTCTTCTCTGCTATTTGTACGGCCTCGTTGAACAGCCACTTTGCTTTCTTGCATTTCCTTTTCTTTGGGATGGTTTTTGTTGCTGCCTCCTGTACAATGTTACGAGCCTCTGTCCAAAGTTCTTCAGGCACTCTGTCCACCAAATCTAGTTCCTTGAATCTGTTCTTCACTTCCACTGGGTATTCATAAGGAATTTAGTTTAGATTATACCTGACTAGCCCAGTGGTTTTTCCTACTTTCTTTAGCTTAAGCTTGAGTTTTGGTATAAGAATCTAATGATCATAGCCACAATCAGCTCCAGGTCTTGTTTTTGCTGACTGTGTAGAGCTTCTAGTAGGTAGGACCTCAACCCCATGGGACTGGGTTTCAAAAAGGAGATTCTACCCCCTCGAGCAGATGTATCCACTTTCTTGTGCCCCTTTCTGCCCCTTCCATTAAAAAAAAGTGTGGGTACATCGCTGCGTCAGGGAAACAACCTTGCTGGCTACGTACAGATCTGAGCCATTTCTTCCTATTTCCATGCTTCGTTACCCTCTATAGAGGAGAACCCATAGCACACTGCAGTGGCGGCCAAAAGACAGTAGGGGGACTGATGCTCCATAATTGATAGAAATATATCAATGTGCCTATATCCACGTTTGAAAATTAATTTAAAGAAATTAAGGGAGTCAGAATGACAGTAGGTGAGGGAGGAGGGACTGCATGCCAGATGTATAGGGAATGAATTGGTTTTGGAGAACACAATGGGATGTTGGTTATAATGCACAATGAAACATGTAACAAATTTAGTAATAGGCTCTCAGCAGGCTGGATCTGATATGGAGATAGCACAGAGGGGAAACAAAAGAATTGATAATGACGTGCATTATCTGAACCTAAAAAGGGGGCGAACATTCGTAAGGAGTAACTCGGAAACATGTTGCTGGTGTGACTGCAGCCTAAGTGGGAAAGGCTGCACTCAAGACACGTGAGACTCCAGAGCAGCAGTTATCAACATGAGAATCAAAGACAGCAGCAACAGCTGTTTCCAGAATAGGTGAGGCACTAAAACAAGAACTTAAAAGATAGTAACCAAACATAATAACAACAGGTACAGAGGACACCACTGGAGGGAGGGCAGAATATCCTACATTCTCCTCTAATCTGGCCTTGGTCTTAAACCTTCATTGCAATTTATTTGTTACATACTGTCACAATAGAACCAACTTATAGTGATCCTAATAGAGCTTTTTATTTATTATGTACTATCACAATAGAACCAACTTATAGTGACCCTAATAGAGCTTTCAAAGTAACTGACATATTTAAAGAGTGGTTTAACCAATTCCACTCCCCCAATAAGTTTCCATGGCTGAGCATGAATTCAACCTCAAGCCTGAATTCTAGTCCATCACTCTGTCCAGTATACCACACTGGGTACAATAGATTTAATGCCAAGTTTTTGCACTCACTGCCTTGCTATCAGAAGGAATCTGTGTAGAGAGTGAGAGGAGGAAATTGTCAAGCAAGCTTTGTTTGCCGCTTAAGGCAGTTTTAGCTGCAGCCGTCCAGATTTGCAAGAGCTACCTTGACAAGCTGCAAACAAGGGATGATGGCCAATGTCTTCCTCTCTGTCTCTCTCTCTTGGTCTCAGTCCCTAGCATAACTCTGTTGCAGTGCTGGCACCAAACCTTGATCTCAGTCCCTAGCACAACTCTGTTGCAGTGCTGGCACCAAACCTTAAAAAGAAGAAAAGACAAGGCACTATGAGCATTAGGAACAAATACCTGAAGTCTCCTGAACTGAATTATCCCAATGCCTTGTAGTTTGACTCCCTTAAAGGGGTGCTTATATGAGAAGAAATGACTCTGTGAGTGCTACTTTCTTCCTACCACACCAACCACCAACATGCCTGCACAAGCTTTTCTGCATTGGCTCAAGCGATCACACTGCCCGAACAAATGCAATTATATTCACTACACAAAAATGTAAAAGTGCCAATGGCAGAGGGGACAAATTCAGATTTTTTTGGGGGGGGGACTCCAGGCTGATTTGCATTGACTTGTATATCATGTAATCAACAGAAAATAACAGAGGGGACAAATTC